GGTCTCTATCGGGTTGCCTGGCAGCCAGCTGAAACTCAAGATTTGACATCATTCAGTAGAAATCTGTAAATTAAACAAACCAGATGTAACATGTATTATTGAGCGCTAGAGGTGCTGGGTGGCCGTTTCCACTCTTCATGCTAAATTAAGCTGCTCTCCCGCACAAATGGGAGATTGGTGTCAATCTTCTCATCCAACTAAAAGAAAAAGCATATTTCCCAAATTGTCAAACTATTCCGTGCACATACAGTATATATCACAATCCTACTACTATTGATTTTTTTCTCAGTAGAGTTCAGATCTAATAATAATGACACTAGATCACAACTTTGTTGAAGTTTGATTACCAACACTGAACGATTACTTTCCTGGGTCCCTTTTAGCTTTACTTGATATATAATTGATGATTTCTGTGATTGTAATTAACGTGACTGTGTGTGATGAACTGTTATGTGGTTATGTGTCGTTAGTTTTATCTCTCTTGAAAAAGAGATCTTTGTCTCAATAAGACTTCCTTAAGAAATCACCAAGCATAACATTAGTGTCCCAACCTTAGCAGTTATTCAGCCTGTAAGCTGAAACATGTGGAAACATATGATGTGTGCTGAAACATGTCTTTGTTTTTTTAATTCAGTATTTCCATTTCAATATTACTTTGGAAAATATTATCCGTGTCTATCAAGCTCTGTGGTGGAGCAGAACACTTGTAACAGATCGCTTCACTGCACGTTTCCTGTCATGTCTATGTTGATATCATCAGATAAATGCAGCAAGAGGAGAACTCCTGCTTCAGTGTTTATAGAGCGTGACAAGTCACCTTTGTTTCAGTTTGATGATCATGTGTGGGGCTTGGTCTCTGACTCACATAGCGTTAAAGAGAAGACAGGCAGCAGACTAACTTTGGCTCTGCCTGGTTAGTAATGGTCTTTTAATGAGTAGAGCACATTCTCTTAAGGTGTCATGTGTCTACTACATAATACAACAACAGCGTCACAGCCACTCACTGTCTGTCATGTTTCCTTTGGTTTATGCACAACACACAGTATGATGTACTGTATGCAAAGACCATGTTTCTTTTTTAAACGTCTGTCTCCTTCCTTCAGTTTCGTTTCATGGTATTGTCTCTGTTTTTGTTCTTTCTTTTTTCTTATCCTTCACCCATTATAACCCCCTGTTCTGCCCGGAGTTTGCCTCATCCCATTAGGACCTCGCTGGGCTCGGACACAATGAAACACAGAAGTGACGGCAGAGTGGCCGCACAGGCTGCATCTGTTTCCAGTGACAGGCTTCAGGGTGAGAGCCTATGACCTCACAGGAAGTATTAACTATGACAGGATGCAGGTGTCCAGAATTAGCAGGAAGAGAGTCTAATTATAAAGAGCACTTAGTATCCAGACACTCATCCCATTTAAAGCTCACTGCAATGTATCTTACAGAGGTTGAGGATGTGAGGCATTTTGGAGAAAAGTATTTAGTGTATCAATATTGAGAAATACTAGTGGGCTGTGCTGACTTGGTCATTGAGGTATGGCAAGGTGTTTAGTGAGATAATCCTAACCTAATCTGTTCATAACGCTTCCTTTTGCCTATCACTGGCCACCCTAAATACTGAAAACCTGAGGTCATGACCTCTTGAAGTAACATAGCCCGGAAGGAGCGTAGATATCAAAGGTCATCTTAATGTGACCTTGTGAGGCCAATTTAAAATAACCTACATTTAGATTTGCATGCTCTATACGTGGAAGAAAAAGACAAATGCACAGAAGCACTCTTATCTATCCACTTCAAAGACCAACACATGGACCGTAGCACACTTGTTCTCATTCAGTGGGCGTTAGAGACCTCTCTGTCAGCTCCTCAGGTTTCTCAGTGGCTCTAAACAGGATTTAACCCCTGGGAGGTCAGAGTGAGGTCAGTGGAATAAAGGCAGCTCCAGGATTTACCTACCTACTCTGTCATCCAGTCACTGTGTCTGCGTGCTTAAAGTGACATATTGTTTTTTAAAGCCACACTCAAGGACAGAGGTGAATAGAGAATGACATTTTTTAAAGTTATGTCAAGGGAATGCTGAACTGTCCACCTCTTAAGTATTATGTTTGAATATCACAAAAACTATTACATGCATAATTGCCCTGCACACACACTCATGGTCTCCAGAGGATAACTTTTACTAACCTGAGTGATCCTCTGACTTTCCCTCTAAAATTATTTTCAGGATATTATCTCATATTTATTTTTAACATGATGTCAATCATTTTTCTTTAAATATCACAACACCCACCACTGCAAAAATAATATCTTTCCCATCAGCTTCGCTCTACTCTCTGCTTCTGCTGCCATCATGCTGTGTTGCCAGAAGGAGAGGGACAGATAATTCTCTCGATATGCCAACACAGCTGGGTTTATTCCAATGATATTCTAAATTAGCATTAGTGTTGGGTATATTTGTATTTCTTAGTAACGGTTTGTTTAAGTTAGACTAGATAAAAGCACACAACACCCTTCTTAACCCTATAACGGCAAGTGTATTAGAAGATGAACAATTGATGTTGTTTTGGATTTAAATTTCAATGCAAATGGCGTATTAAACATGCTGACATTAACATGTAGCGAGTAACGCCTCACAACTAATAAGAGGTGAACCTTTGTCCGTAGCTGAGTTATATAAAAGTCCACAGCCTGTCTCTCTCTTTCTCTTGCCGCCACTTCAGCCACATCCAGGCCCTAACCTCTCGAGGTCCTGCGTTACCTCCACCCTCCTGCACAATTACCCAACCAAGTGGAAGCTGCTCTGTCTGGCGGGGACTGAAGATGGGGTGGGTGGGGGGACTGCATCGGCCCTGTGTCAATGGAGCACTGAAAGGAGAAAAGATTGGGGATATGGATTTTGGGTGAAGAGGGGATTATTGGACAAGATCATAGACGTGCCTTCACAGATACTGGAGCGCTCATTACACACATCGCACGAGACTGTCACTCCGTCAATCTGCCTTCCACAATCAGACATACCGCTCACCCCCTGCGTGGAACCAGACACCACACAGACAGTTAATCCCCCCAGAAGTCTGCCATTTGATGTTACCCCGACATACACAGACACAAATAAGCATGTATTTGCTATGCATAAGCACTTACACACACACACACTCACACACAGGATGGGGAGGATTTGCAGTCACAGCAGGCAACAATTTTGAGGGGTTTTGGGGGGAGTAAAGGATTATTGATTAAATAGGACACTAGCCAGATGTACCCACATGCCAGACACATTGTGGTTAAATGTATCTATTTGCAGCAATCTGGTCCAGCAATAGTATCAATTGATTTGTGTGGAGTGAAAGGTTGTGCATTGAGTGCTTTCACTTTCCGCCTTTGGTAATGGCCTCGCTAATGTTTCTCTCCAGGGCTTTTTCATTCATGTCTAATACACTGTAAGTCCATCAATCCGTCCACACAATGACTTACTTCTTTGTCAACATCACAAATCCCAGTGGTCTGGCTCTGTCTCTGCTCTTCATCTATGAGCCATTCTCCATCTCTCAACTTTCTTAACCTGTCAAATATCTCTTCCTCAGCATTTACGACACATCCTTGACTCCCTATTTGTTGGTTGGATTTATCAAACGAATGCAGTTGCTCTTTGATATTTTAGTGACACGTTAAACTGATCCTGAAATCTGCTGAAGTTTACCACTCAGAGCACTAAGTGCTATCTTTCTCCCTGTGTGTTTTATGTGTGTCTGTGTATATATAAAGCATGAGCACATAAATGGAGCTGGAAGAACCAGACCAGGAAGGAAAGAGCTCCACTCAAATTAATCTCCGCTGGACGGCCCAGTAAAGGAGCAGATCCATTTTTGGGAGCAAGGAGCCATCTCCTAGGTGAGTACCATGGCAACAGCCAACGTGGGCCCCAGCTTTCAGGGGCTGGCCTTTTCAAACGCCCGATCAGAAGTGGCAGGCCAGGTTTTTTCGTTATGTGGCGTCTCTTACTCTCTCTCTCTCTCTCTTTTTTTCTCTTTCTCTCTCTCTCTCTCTCTCTCTCTAGCCCATTCTTCTGCCTCTCCTTTTCTCTCCCTGCATGACACGGTCCTGGCCTTGTTCACCAGGGAGTGTGTGAGAAGACTGCAGAGGGCGAGTGTCTGTGGGAAAATGTTGCCAGACAACACAGGGGTATGTGACAGGAACAGCAAGCTAAAATGGGACAACAAAGGCGAGTTAAGATAGATGGTAAGAGCTATATATGAACCAGATGTATGAACCCTATGGAAACAGCAGGTTTGGGGCCTTCATCTTGTTTGCACGAATGTTTGCAACATGTATAAACAGAAAAAGAGCCTTTGGATTTAACTGACTAAAAGATTTAAACAAAGTCATTCGGTTTGTCCATTCCTTTGAATTGATTGCCATGAAACGTAGGCATTCATGGTCCCCAGAGGAGGGATCAAACTGAGTGTCACAATGAAGTGGATATTTGTGTTTTGAGGGGAATGTCTCAACAATGGAATCTCATAGAAAATTGGTAACCATTCAAATTCACCTGAGAATAGTTTGTTACCATTCTGACATATTTTAAAAACTTCAATTTTTACAGCAAATAGCTATACAATCAATGATATTCCCATGAAGCTTAAATATGTTGTGCTTGGTGCTAATTAGCAAATATGCTGAACATTATGAATATGAAACCATTGGCAATAGTTCAAACAATGCTTTACATAACCTACCTTTTGAAGTTTCTAGGTTTCATTTCACTATTGCTGTTTTACTTAGTGTGACAGTTCACTCATTTTAGATTTTTAGATTTCACTGTTGTTGTTTTTTTTTAATCTTTTAGAGTCTGCTAATGTGTCCACATTGTTTTTGTGTTTACCATAAAAACCTCAAGAGGTTAAATAACTCATATAGCAGGTATTTGGAGCCCTATAACAATGACTTATGAAATCTAATGATATTCCCAAATGCTCAGATATGGACATCTTGAAGAAATGACAGACAGGTGTGTTGTTTGGGTTTTATTACATGTATAACATTCATAGAACAGTGATTACTTTGAGTGTTGCAAGGTGCATGTCAGTTGCTAAAAATAACATTACATAAAGATTAGTAGAAGGTATTTGCACATCACAAAACACATGCTGAATAATTCATTGCTTTTCTTGCTGCTTTAGACGATACAGAAGCTAGAGAAAGTGCTTCTCTGTTTATTTGACCAAGGCGCCACCTTGTGGATAAATGAGGACGTCAGCAGCGACACAGGGAAGCAATAGCCTAGATTTAGACGATATGGTTGCTTTAGTTTTTACTTTAAGAAGTATTTCATATTAAAAGACAAAACAAAGGTTGTTCTTCAAGCACTAAATTAAACAAGTCTGATTTCCTGTTTAAAGTATATAATCCCCTGCATTATAATATATTTTCATCACCAGTCACCTCCCTGTTTCCCTGACTACGCTACCTAGTTTGAACCCATGATCTTCCGCAGCCAGCCTTGGTGACGCGACACTTTCTGGAAGATGAAGCCTTGGTTGCAGTCGGCCCCTGGCGGCAGGCTGACCACCCCAGTGAGGAAGAACACGTCCCTATAGAGGGTGAGCAGGGGGCTGCCGGAGCTCATGGTGCAGTCAGCATTGGCCTGGGCAGTGGTGCAGCCCAGTTTATTGGTCATCATTTGGGGGTACGTCTCCAGACACTTAGGCAGTCTGCCGTACGCCAGCTGGTTGAAGGTGAGCGGGCCCTGGAAGGCAGTTTCCTCTTTGGGTTCTTTCCAGCCGCTGACTATGGCCTGATACTCTCCCGCCAACAGGACATTCTCTGCAAAGTCTCTTTCTGGCAGACAGGCTGCAGTCACCTCCTTCTTAAAGGTGATGCGGCTTTGTAGCTCAATAACAGTCAGGTCATTTTCAGGGCGACCCTCCACATAGCGTGGGTGATGGTGAAGTTCTTTCAAATACAGGGTCTGCTCTCCAGATTCATAGGTGGTGCTTCGCTTGCCTGAGGAGGGGCAGGTAAGACATTAATGAGGATTATTATTGTTTGTCTTTTACGCAGTAGTAGTTCACCAGAAGCAGTAATAGTGGTAACTAAATGAGTCTACTCACCAACAACCACCTGGAAGGAGCTGTACTTTTTGGCACAATGAGCCGTAGTCAAGACCATGTTCTCCTTCAGAATGACTCCGCTGCAGAAACCTGCAGAATCTGGGCTGACCAGAAGAGCCTGCAAAAAACAAAACAGTGACGCACAACAATAAGCCCCTGGTCTATCGTGTGTGTGTGTGTGTGTGTGTGTGTGTGTGTGTGTGTGTGTGTGTGTGTGTGTGTGTGTGTGTGTGTGTGTGTGTGTGTGTGTGTGTGTGTGTGTGTGTGTGTGTGTGTGTGTGTGTGCGCGCGCGTGCGCGTGTGCGTGTGTACCTGCCACGGGCACTCTGTGGGACTACAGCTGAGTCCTTCAAAGTCGCTGCGAGTGTTGGCGGACAGTCTGCTATCCCAGAGGTTCAGATTGTTCACCTTACCACAGGGGAATTTGCCTGAAAGAGGAATGTGAGATAGTTATAACTACTTTCTTTTATTACACTATGTATCTAACAACTGAAGCCATATCCTTTTTTGCAGTCAAAAATAATGTTTCAAAAAAAGGTTTTATTGATTCACTATTATTCCCTTTTTTTTTACACTACAGAAAATTGCCTGACTTTAGTTTATATATATTATTCCTTTATTTGAGCTTCAGCACTATTTTATGTCTTAGGTTTTCATTTTTATTTTATGATTTTTTTTCTCACAAATACTTTATAAGTACACAATAATTGGAGAGAGTTTGTGATCTAAGATTTATATTGCCAACTACTGATACTGTCACTGGTGTGATTATGACAGTAAATAACGAGAAACGGAACACATATTTATACTCTAGTGGAAAATAAATGCATTTCAATTTCACTCGGACACTGGAGGAAGACATAACAAACGTACCTGCAGGGTCACACTTGTTCCTGTCACTGTTGAGCTTCCACCCGCGGGCGCAGGAGCACTCGTAGGACGTGTAGCCTGGTTTACAGAACTGGGAGCAGCCTTTGTTCTTCTCCAGGGTGCACACAGTCTGGTCTGCATCGTGGAAACAGAAGAGGAAGGTTGCAGCGCTCACACACTAACTGAAAAGAGAACTAGCTACGACGATCAGGCACAACATCCTCCTCACCGTTTTCGCAGTGGACTCCTGTGAAACCCGACTTGCAGACGCAGTCGTAGCCCCCCACGCTGTCCGAACACATGGCTCCATTCTTGCAGGGGTTCTCTGCACACTGGTCTCCATCTAAACACAAGACAACATGCCTATGAGAAGATGTAATGTACTGCTAATGACTGTGCGGTGAGGGAAAATCATTTGAACGCAGCACTTACCAATGTAGACAGCCCAGAAGATGTCCTGCAGGAGAGAATACGCATGATAAGTGCACAGTGGAAGCTACACAAAGCACTTACACAGTGCACTAGACTAAGGCAGACTTACATATAGACCAGGGATGTCCAAACTACGGCTCGGGGAGCATTTTGAATTGGCCCTCATCAAATTCAAAAGGTATAATGAAGTATGGCCCACAAATGAAATGTGTGCTTGTCTTATATTGTACTTCTTAAATATAAATGTAAACATATATTACACAGTAGTATTCATGTGTTAATAAGACCACTTTTCAATTACATTCAGTCAATTAAAGTTGGAAACATTTTCTAACAAATCTTAGTCGATAAAAGAAAAGCCCAATGACTTATTTCCATAACAAGCTTGAAAACTTCCTATTTCTCCTTATTATAATCAATCTGAGGCTTCTGTTTTAAGGGATGAGCTGCCAACACTCACAAGCATCATTTACCTACATTTGATTGATTTTCACTTATAACTGAACTTATGAGGCGATATACCTCTAGTGAGCGGCCCAGCCCTTCGTTTATTTTTCTGTATGTGGCCCTCGGTGAAAAAGGTTTGGACACCCCTGATATAGACAAAGCAAAGAGCAGACGCTGAGGTAGTTTGATGAGAAAGAAATGAGGAGGAAGTAAACAGCGAAGTCCTGAAACTCACCGTTCGGTACGAGTCCTGGAAGATCTTTCTGGCCTCCTCGTAGTTGCACACCTTCTCCATGCAAGCCTGCTCCAGGCTGGCGGGCTGATCCGGGCTGCCGCCGACGTTCCTCTTTTGACGGGAAATCATGGTGCTCGCCTGCTGCTTGTCCAAAAACACTGTAGGGAACAGTTATTGTCTCAGTTGGTTCCTCCAAACAGACCGAAATACACTTTGAGGATATGCCAGTAAAAGAGGCTGTGTAAAGCTGTGCAGGTTTTTCCGATTGTAAGAGAATCATAACTTGGTGTTTACGGTTTGTTTATTTATTTATTTGGTTTCTTATTTTATATTTTCTTGATGACGATTTACCTCTTTTATGTATTTGTTTATTTATCTGTTTATGTATTTGTTGTTTGATGTTTTTGTTTAGTTTGTTTGTTTTTCAATAACAAATATATATATATATGTTAATAATTTAGTTTTTGGGAGAAGGGGTGGGATTAAATAAGTGTAAACTTCTTCCCACCCCTTTTCGGATGTGTAATTAAGTAGATCATTTGTTTATATATCATTTAGAATCAGTCATATTTTTGTTTATCAATTTGACACTTCTTAAGTTTGTATAGTATAATAATTCTCATGTTTAATTTCAATATTATTATTATTTATTTTTTGTATTATTGTTTTACACATTCAAAATCAATCACATCAAATCAAGGGATCAAAGATAGGAGCATTGAAACATGGATGTTTTAGGCTATATAACCATTTGGCTGATTCCAAAACACAAACATGTGACAGCCTCTTTCTATTTCATAGCATTACAGAGTACACGTTTTTACCTTGGTGACCAGTTTTCTTGGTATCTGGAGCTTTCGATGGGCATCAAGTATATTTACATGTGTTTTTTTTTTTTAAATCTGCCATTAAGATGAAAGAGACAGAAAAAGAATCGAAATCTGTTAAGATTAATGAATTTCCTGCTTCCTGTTCAGAAATCATTTCCTGCTGGAGGGGATTTGGACCGTTGTGATATTAAACTAACCTAATAACCTATGAATCAAGAGAATCACCAGCAGATAAACTGATAAGATAATAACAAGTGGCTGTCCTAATGATTCAATAAACAAGACAATAATCATAGAAGAGATCAAACCTTTACTACTTAATAACATAATGTTATTGTATATGAAAACAGGGTAGCGATAAATACATTTAGAAATTGAAATTAGAAATCAATAGACTTAAACTAAAGCAAATACACAGCATCTCATCCAATGAGGCTCAAAGTTGTATTTGAAAAAGTCAGAAGCTGAGATAATGACATGTCATACACTCAGCATGCTGCCATCTTGACCTCCTTTTAATTCTTCACTTGTCTCTCCTCTCTCTAGAGCTCAGACTATAACGTTACGAAACTCTGCGACACATCTGGCTCCAGGTTGGCCCTCTCACCTGCGTGGGGGTCCTGAACGGCAGCCATGGCCCCCGCCAGCAGGCAGAGCAGAGCGGCAGATGTGGTCGAGGAGCGCATGATGTCGCTGAAGAGAGATCTGAGTCGAGTTGTCGGTGCTGCAGGGTCAACGTCTTCTTCTACAAACAAGAAACGAAAAGCACATGGTGATTAAAAGAGAATATAATAATTATGGTAATTATAGACTTAGAAATACCCAGGGTTCATTTAACTTTTACTGGAAGATGATGCCCACTACTCAGGCACTGGAATAATATTCACAAATATGCTCCAATCATTCATTAACAACATATTTTAATTTGATGACTGGGTTCATCAGCAAGGACAATAATACCAGAGCTAAATATATTTCAGTCAAATCAACTAATAATCATACAATGGAGGATACTTATAACCGATTCAAGATTTCATAAGGGATTTACATTATATAATGTTTAGGATCCCCTCAAATTTCACAGCTTTGCTTATTTATCAAGTTCATTTCTTATTTATTTTTTTTCACTTATATATCACAGTATATAGGCTAATGGTATGATTATCTATTAAGTGAATGTGTCTTGGTTTTGTAGAATGACGTTGTTCATAAAGCAACCAATACAAAAAAGATACATTGAAATTCAAACCCTAAGGAAATGTTGTTCTTGAGACTAAATCATATTATTATATAATGCATTGACGAATAATGAGTAATGCTAAGAAATGACCTCATGCTGTTTACATCCGTGATTGTGCATTTTTTTTATGCAGCACCATTATCACTTGAACTGCTGTCAAATTGATGGGCTTTATAGGCTATATTATTACACATTGTAAACAATAATATAAAAAAAGAACCTTTAGGAACCCTGTTTACATTTACGGCAGAGTGCGTTTATATCACGTTACACAGCCTGTGCTTGCTATCTGCGTAGCTGTCTGCCATTCTGATAGCATGTAGCTTGTGTGATGATGAACACAAAGAAGACTAGAAGATGTATCTCGCATCTCGTATGCTGCATTAACGGACAATGGTACTCTTTCTAGAAGCTGCTGAAATGTAACAAAAACATGCAAATATTTACATGACCGTCTCTGTTTTCAGGGCCCGTCCAACATGGGTCTGCGTAACGGTCCGAAACAACAACAATACCAACAACAGCAGCAGGGATACTCGGTACCTACAGCCAGACTGGATCAAAGTACCGGGGCTGTCTGGTTCCTCTCCGGTCCTGAAACACACCACACCCTCCTTAGAAGGATCGGTCCTATCGATCCAAAATAACAAATGATGACCAGATCCGAGCCTGCTTACTGGTTCAATGACCGTAGGGAGTGCAGTGACAAAGATGAGCCACCAGAGGGCGCTGTGAGACAGAGACGATTTTCACTGTACGGTAAGACAAATAAAAAATACTAATACTACTTCAAATAATAATGATAATAATAATAATAATAATAATAATAATAATAATAATAATAGTAATACAACTAATAACAATAATAATAATAATAATAATAATACAAATAATCATGGTCATAATAAGACGACTTTCACTGGTACAGTAAGTACAACAAATAATACAAAATAATATAAAAAGACTACTACTACTACAACTTATAATAATAATGATAAAAATAATCATAATCATGGTCATAATAATAAGAGTAAGAATCATTCAAAAATAAATGAATAATGACAATAATGGGAGGCTGTGGCTCAGTGGGGGTGTGCTGGACTTGGAATCTGGTGGTATCATGTTCGAGTCCCACTGCAGTCAGCATGTCGTTGTGTCCCTGGGCAAGACACTTCACCCCAAATTGCTCCACAGTAGCCTACTGAATGTATGTAATTCGCTTTGGATAAAAGTGTCTAACAAGTGACATGTATTGTAATAATAATCTCAGTGTTACAAAACATAAAATATCATTAAAAAACAATATCAACATTCATTGTTATGTTTTGTTTTTTAAAAAGTATGTTTTAATACACTAAATATGTATTTTAATATCACTATTATTAATGACAATATAATAATTATAACAAACTTTCTGTATTAGTTCTATACAACAGATGTAGCTCAAAATACTATACAAGAAAATACAATAATTCAAATGAAAAGTGATAAAAAAAAAACATCAAATCATTCAAGTAAAAACAAATACATAACGCTTACACCAAATTAAAAAGGAAAAGGAATTACAATACCTATAATACAAAGAAACAAAACCAAAAGGCTGTTTGTTTGCAGCTGTCATTTTAAATGTTCAAAGAGCCCACATCTCATATTGATCTTTGCAGGGTGTAATTGGTAGGGCATTATTTTTTAAACATAGTATTAAAAATAGATAGGCTAACTGTTTTCTTTATGCTTTAATTGTGTGTTTGTAAAGCCCTAGAAGGAGCAGATCACACAAGTCTGCAATTTAGACCGGTCCCAAACCATTAAGAGTTTAAAAAAAAGGAAACACACCAGAAAGTCTGTTATAAGATATATTGGGAGCCGGCATCGCACAAGGAACAGATAATATAAGATGAGATAGAATAGAATCTAATAAAAAATGATGAGATAAGATCGGATCGGATAAGATAAGTTAAAGCAGCAACGAGAGCATTTCTTTGCCCAAGATGCTGGATGCAGTTTTTCCAATTTTTCTGACTAATCTGAAGTTATTTATTTTTCCTTGTGAAATAGCACATGTTACCTCCTCAGGCATATATCAGTATTAGTTCTTGTTAATCTGTGGTTTGTGGGTAAAAATATGCGTAATTGGCTGGAAAACCAGTGCTAAATGATACTACCAGGCATATGCACAGATGCATGAAAAATATTTAGCACTATCACTGCTTTTTTCCTCAGCGGTGTGATCAGAATCAGGAATCCCTATGATGCGCACCCTGATCAAACAAAAGTGGATGCTACCTGCTGTGATCAATAGGAGAAGCCTAACTGCAAACTAACACTCGAGTCTAGAAAAAATCAAACATTGGATGACAAAATTTGGGCTCTATGCCTGTTGAGAAACTGGAAGCAGAAAGGCAATTTTATGGCACAGAGTTTATGCATATTTATTGTCCAACTTTTTGATTAGCAATTCTTGATTAGCAAAGATCAAACCCACAACCGAAGAGCTGCTGAAACGTTGCCATCAAGGCTACGCTTTCTGAACTCAGAGTCCCTCCTCAGTGGCTTTATTTCAATAGGACTGTTTGTAAGAGCAATGCAATTTGCAGACAGAGCCGTGGGGCTTTAGTCTCAGCTGCAGCCGTGTTAAATGTTTCCATTTCCCATGTCTAATAACAACAGAGGTTTTATCGGAGCCTGCTCGGACCAGCTGGTCCCCGGTGCTGGACCGGGGCAGAGCTGGACGGCCCGGTCCAGGGAGACTCCCCCACGTGTAGGAAGAGCGAAGGGAGAGCCTGCCCCGACATGGGCTGCAGCTACATGTGTAAATGATTAACACAGTGGTGATTTCCCTAGTGATTGTGGTCTGAGGTGAAATCCAAAGTTGTTGTTGCACGTGTTCATACATGTCATGTGCAACATTACATGTTGACTGTAAGAGCATGCACTGTTTGCATGCAGGGGAGAGGAAAGCCCTGCATATCTCGACCAATCATCCATCGATCTCTTTCTACCAGTTATGTTTTATTCAACATCTTCGTCTTTTACCGTCGCCCTCTCTCCTCCTCCCATTTCTTCCCAATCCTCTCATTATTCTTTGAGTGTCGGCTTCAAATTAGAGGGGGAGCAGGAAAGTGGCACAGCGCTCACGTGTGACCTTGCTGACCCATTCTTCATTTCCAAAGCATGCTAAACAAACAGGCATCACAGAAGGCATCTATAATTAATGTCCCCTGACAATTTCCTCATACATATAACAAGCTGGTGACGTAATCTCCGGGACTCCCTGCATGTAGGCCTCTCAGTTATTCTCATTGCATCTCTTTACCTGCTATGCTTTTCATCACTTGTTACTATACATTGTTTACTACCATGTTAACAGCATGGCTCGAGAGATTGCAATGTCCCTTGTTTGGCGAGCACTCTAGACTGATACATCAAGTAGTAAATATCCATAACAATTATTGGATGCATTACCATGAACATACATTAGTTGTGCCTAGATGATGAATTGTTCTGACTCGGGGGAACCCCTGATCTGATGCTGCCGTTACGTCTCATATAAATACGACCAAACACCAAACCAGTCACCAGCCTCAGCTGTATTGGGCCTAACAAAGATAGAGAACATGATGAAGATGATACCTTTTGAGCATCAGCATGTAAGCGTTGTCTTGGTTAGCATGTTAGCATGCCGAAGTTAGCTATAAGCTTTAAACACTCAAAGCTGCTACCAGTCTGCAGTCTCATAGTAAGTCTCACTTTTAGGATTCACGTCACAATATTGCTTTTTCTCAGATATTAGGCTTAATTCAGGAAATAAAATGTATAATAAATATAATAAGCATTATACCTGCTAAACATCAGTGTGTTAGCTTTGCCATTGTATGCATTAGCAGGTACATCCTCATAAAACTATGGCTGGAGACTCTTTGTCTTTGTCTCTTTGTATCCCTATAGGAGGAGTACGTTCAGCCACAGACTCATCCCTCCACGACACAGCACCAAGCGCCTCGGACAGTCCTTTGTGCCTGTAGCCATCAGGCTGCACAACAAGGGGTGAATAATGTAAAATAAAAATTATATAAAATCACTGGACATAAATATACACTGTTTCCACAACCCATGTTAATATATTAGTAGTAGACCAAATATGTAGATAGATATGTCACTATATGTATAGATGTCCATTTTCACTTGTCACTTTAACTCATTTCGTACTTCATAATTTATATGACCAAATATGTATATATGCTGACAGTTATTTTACTCTTATTTTTACTCATCTCGTCTTTTACTATTATTATCACTATTATTTTAATTTTTTTTCTTGATTTGATTTTTGATTTTATTAATCTGTGTGAATCTCCGTCCTGTTTTTCACGCTTACCCTGTTGCTGCTTGTACAACTGAATTTCCCCAAGCGGATTAATAAAGGTCCATCTTATCTTATCTTATCTTATGTTTTCATTTTGACTGTTGCACCGGTTCGCCATTTTTGTGCAAGCAACATTCAGTTTAAACCACAAGTTTAAACAGTTTCAAAGCCCCATATGTATATCTGCTTTGTTCTGCTTAGTGACGCAACCAAATATAAACACTCAAAATAAACTTTGTGGCATTTGAGGAAATAACACAACTTTGGTTTTGCATGTTTGTGCATGTCCGCCTGTGATATAGTTGAATACATTGAGAATGTGAGTGTTGGGTCCCCAGATAATGTGTATAATGATGATGTAATGGGTCAATATAACACACACACACACACACACACACACACACACACACACACACACACACACACACACACACACACACACACACACACACACACACAGTTGCTCATACACTGCACAGTTTTCCTTCTGCTAATCTCCTCCATACATTACTGCAGGACGTAATGAGGTCAGCTGGAGGTATAACCACGCTTCATAACCAACTATATATACATAACAACCATCACCTGCCCTGGTTTAGTTTGCAGTCACCACATTATACTTGCACATTGAAAATACCCTCTCATATGTACAGTACCTGTTGTTCTGTATTGAATCCAAAAGCAAACAACAACCCACACACAACACTTCACGCCAATTTCAAAGCGCCAGAAGATTACATCTAATTGAGTTTGTGCGACAAGGACCAATGATGATGTTGTATTAAGTACTGCAGAATAGGCAGGCATCTCCCCTGTGGGGGTCTTTCACAGCTATAGTAGCTACAGTTGAAGAATCACCTTTCCATGTCCCATATTTCTCCGTGATCAATTCATGTCAGCTGGACATATTTTATTTAACACTTAATCGCGTCGCTCCCCTTCCTGCGTCCCCTGCAGCTCGTTTGTTGACATGTAGAAAAAAAAAGAAATAAGAGCATGTGATTGCTCTTTAAGCTCCTCTCACCTTTCCTCACCTTTCCTCACGTTATCCTCTAATTCAAGAGGCATTCAGCAGAAGGCCAGCCATTGTTGGACTGTAATAATTCTTCTTTTCATACGGTGACCTCCATCCGAAGTGATGCCATAATTGGATCTCCAGGAAAGGTTTTCAGATTGTTCTGCTCCTCCTTTGTGATCGCCAGTATTTTAACTTGTGAGTTTTCTTTCAAAAAATCTTCTCTCTTCTCTTTTTCTTTGTGTCTTTAATCCTGTCTGCCATCAGGTCCTTGTCACTACCGGCATGCTCTACCTTTTAAATGATAAACCGTATCGCACTCAGACAGCATAGCAGAGTGTGGTTGTGTTTCCTCAAACCTGCTAAGAGGTGTGCGTAGGCCTTGATTGTGCTGAAGAGGCACAGAGAGAGGAGAAACACAGCTCTCTAAATGGACATGATTTTTCACCATACTCATGCATAACCTGCTCTGGTGTGTGTGGCAACTCCTAAAAGCCCTGAGGAGTCTGCAAATTGTTGATAGCAATGATAGTGATAATATGTATCCGCACGTCTGACTGCATATCAAGAAAAATATATAAAATTGACATGTTTTTCGTGTCATGTCTATGATTGCACAGTAGTTCATGTGGAGAGAGATGAAGGCAAAAGGACTGGATTGGTTTTCAGGGCATGAATGTGAGAGCTGAGAAAAACACCTCTGTAGCAGTATGACGTGTGGATAGAAATCACTGGTGGAAGTCATTACTTTGAAGCTCTTGCTAGCATGATAACGTTATTACTTGATGGACAAGTTTCCAATGTAGCATTATTGTGTTTCCTGTTTTTATTAAAAGATGCATTTCTCAGTACAATGCAAGGAATCATTGAGTTTGATTTGATAGTAAAGTAAGTGTTTAGTAAGCTACATAATACTCATCAAGTCATTTCCGACTGGTATAATTAGCTGCCTGCTCCACATTAAGACTGTTCAAGTTGGATGAAGCAGAATATACTGTACATATCTTATTTTTTGACCAAAGTAAGTCTGTCATAAGAAATATCTGACTTGTGCTGTGAGTAATACATTTCATCTGTCGGAGGGGGGGCGACTTCCCATGGCGAAAAGAAACCTTAAATGTTCCTCCGCAGTAATGACAGTAGCACTTGAGAGCAGAAAACATAAATCAGCGACCTGACAAGATTAACTATCAATAAAGTACACACACCTTAAATTGCTTTAATTTGGCATATCCTATTATTCAATGTTGTTGACTGTTCAACCGACTAAACAAACACTTGTAAGACTTCCTTTTGGAGTGTGTCATAATTGCTTTATTATTCTGTAGACCTTCAAAAGCAATCTATACAAAAGGGTCCCATAACTCCTCTCCAGCATTGTACTGTGTGTTTTTCTGCTACATTGCCTTCATTAGGGCAGTAAAAGCGATAATGCAGCAGAAACTGTTAGAGGGATAACACAGTCTATTCATTCGATTTGTATGGACTTTATCGTTATGTTCACGATGGTGTCCTAGTGTGCATAATATAGAATGATACATTCCACTTTTCACAATAAACAACCAAGGCATTTATTGGAAATGACTGACTGATAAACCCCAGAAGAGGGTCTTTCTTTAGAAGCACTGTGTGTCAGCCTTCTGCTCATTAGCACATTATAACTAGAGATTCAGACACATTCACACTGCATGGCAAATTAGATTTAGTCCCAACCCCCACTCCCACTCCCACGTCAAACCCACAGATCACATGTGTACTGTAACGTTTAGGAAATGCTAATAGGATTATTTGGATACTGCTTGTCCACTCATTATTGAATACTTTATTACATCAAAAACAATCATGAGGTTACTGAATATACAAATAAATAAAGAGATGTGCCCTAAAGAGACAGATCGGCAGTATGACTGACACACTATCATTTTCCACAGTCCATTTATCTTTTCTTGTCTGCAACAGTTTTAATCTCTTTTCTTTCCTGGCCCTCAAACAGGAACCCCTCTTTCTCTCCACGAGCCTCCCTCAGCTCCCAGCCTCCGTCTCTCTCCCTCACTTTCTAATGTTCAGCATACCCTTGCTCTCCATCCACCTCCCTCCCTCCCTCCCTCTTTCCTCCTCCTCCTCCTTCTTCTCCTGCTGCTCTCTCGACTCGCTCTCATTCCCCCTCACTCACACACTCAGGCAGCATCCTCCCCTCTCCACTTCTACCTTCATACTCACCTCTCTGCTTCTCTCGCCTCCTTTCTCTCCGTCACCTACTAACACATTTCATCTCTGGCATCTCCCAGTCTGTTGTCTCCCCTATACCATCACACACACACTCAACCTCGTTGCCTTGCGCAAACCCAGGCGTGCACACACTCATGCTGATTGGCACCCAAGGACAGAGCACCCTCTCTCCCACCCCGGCGACCAGGCGGTTTGCTTGTGTGGCCAGCCGGCTTCTTGACACTGAGCTCAGCTGAGGAAGAGGACAAAGAAGAGGCCATGGAGCACAGCCACATCTTCCCTGTTTTTTCCCCAAATGACAGCAGTTGGAGCCCAGAGCAGCATCCCTCTGAGTTCGCCCAGGGGTGCCCTCTCGGACCACTGCCTGTCATCTACTACAGCGTCCTGCTCTGCCTCGGCCTGCCGGGTAAGAGATGTGCACACAGTGTGTGTTTTGATGTCTGTGTCTAATCACATGCACGTCTCATTCTGTGTTAATTTGCTCCCCAGCGGGATGCAAGAGTCACGCTTTGCATCTTGAAACGATGTGTACTTGTCTGCCGGTTTGAGTGAGTGTGTGTTGTGCACAGCTGCAAAAAGTGTCACACACACACAGACACATGCACACACTGTTGATTTGTCATCCTGACCTTGTGGCAATCACTTGTGCATGCACACTTATTTTGTGTTTGTCTGTGCTTTGCCGGTCCGTTTGGAGGTGGTTTTGTACATGTGTCTTTTATTTAGGTGGAAATAGTCACGCACCACTTAAACACATTGTGCAAAGCGTAATTAAATCTGATTCATAACCTTTAAAACAGCACCTTTTCTGTTAGGCTGCAGTGGTTCTGGCGATGGGTGCATGACAGAGTGTGTCTGTAATGAGTCAGGCTTGACCTCGGGGACAAGTGTGTGTTACGTGGCTCATCTTGATGACCTGCATTAATGACACTTCCTTGTTGCGTCCTTACCGTTGACTGATTAGTCCATTCACAGTCACTGTCGGACTCATTTACTGCCTCTCTCCCACTGCGTGATCTATGAGCGCTATCCTGCTCTCACACAGGGAAGCAAAGAGGTGTGTGCATACTGCATACATGTGTGTATTTGAATGTGTGTGTGTTTCAGAGAGAGAGGCAGGAAACAGAGGTCAGATAAAAGAGGAAAAGTGTGAATGTGGGGTTCAGTGAGGTTAGAAACATCCACCCTGCTTCAGCACAAAAAATGCTTCAGGTGCATCCAGCGTTTTACTATTCATCCTGATTCAGATAAATACATCTAATGACTTGTATTGTCTTATTTGTGCTAATACATTAGATTAACGTAAGCTCTGCACCTCTCCTCCTTGATAAAGACTCGGAGTGAGATGTTGTTTTGTCCTGGTTTAGAACAAATCTGCAATGCATAATGAAAAGCCTTAGTACGCCAAGACTGCAGTTGCTCCACAAGATTTGCAGCCGTGTAAAAGTAAAAGTCTACTTTGTGATTAAATCTAGTCTAATTAATCATCCTGGTTGACAAATGAAGTCTCGCACATCATTTAATTGTTTTCTTGCCTCGAAAGTTTTATCTGTTTCTGCAGCTGAAGTCATCTTTACAAATGCGATGTAGGTTGCTAATCACTAAATAACACTAACCTGGGAGTGTAATGCAATCTTACGTCTGAAATAATAGTTGAGTGCAGCTGGCTGATATTTTCGCAGCAGCCGAGATCGACTTATTTAATCACTGTGACGTTCCACTCAAGCCGAATCATAAATGTTTCATGAGTGCGGCATGTGGGAGGAGTAGTGGTGTGACTTAAAGACTCACACATACACAGACACTCTCAAAGCATTTGGAGCCGTTACCCTTGATTATCAGACCGTTTTCATTAGTTATTTAAAAGCAACAGGGCTTCAGAAGGTCATCATCATGTCTGTAAGATTCTTGCAGACTTTGACCTTTAAGCTGCAGACATAGAAGGGTCGCTTCGAGAGCACAAATGTGAGGGTGTGAAGATTGAAGGTGATGAGGAAAGGGATTACGCAACTTCATTGGTGGGAAGTGTGTGACCTAGGGAAATGTGATCAACCGACATCTCAGGTTGAACAGAATGGAGTATGGGGAGGACAAGGACACCAAGAAGAAGAAGAAGAAGAAGAAGAAGAAGAAGAAGAAGAAGAAGAAGAAGAAGAAGAAGAAGAGCGGAGTTAAAAGAAATAGATTAATAACAGCAGAGGCAGTGAAGTAGCACCTCTGAGCCCGAGTGGAGGAGACGACAGCGCTGAGACGAATTGCCACATTTTTTATTAATTGCTAACTCTCTCTCTCTCTCTCTCTGCTCACCACACCACACTGCTTGAGACAGAAGAGACATGTGCTGGCATAGCAAACAGAGACACGGCGGAGTTTCTGACATGCAGGGATTACAGAATTTAGGCCTGCTGTTTGTACGGTACAGTGTGTCTCAAAGCACTCACATCTGAGACACTGACTGTAGAGTATGTTGAAGATGGTGAGTGATTTTGTGTGTCGTAACTGGGTGTTAAAGCTTCTCTGAATATCCGGCCTGATACAGCTGCTTTTATGCAATGTGTTTGAGTGGAGCATTCCTCAGGCAGGGAGTTCTTTATGATGCCGTTTATAGACTCTTTACCTGCCCACGTGCAATTTAAATTTCAACTCGAGGTCACTGTTAATGCTTGAATATTTATTTAATTTGCATGCCTTTAAATTACTTGCACATATTCCAATGGTTCAATGTTTGTAACGTGTCTTTGCAGCAGGGCACAATGCAACTAAAAAGATTACATTATATTACATTAGTATATCAGATCATCACTGTGTGCAAGCAAATCATTTGTGTTGCTTTCAAGTGCTCACAAAATGTGCTATGTTAGGTCATTGTGAATGAGAGTTACAAATTATTAATATTTGGTCATTTAAGTTGGAAGGGACATAGAAAAGCGCTATATAATTTAAACTATTATTATTGTTATTATGATTTTGTCGGAACCAGAATATGCAAATGAATATCAACTCTCAAATGTCATTGGCTAGCTTTTCCAGTGCTTATACGTGTCAAATGAAGAGGCTCAGTTGTCAAGCATAATAATCCCTTTTAATAAGTGTATTTTGAATATGTGTCAACAAATGGTTGAATGGTGTCGACATGTCTGCACATTGTGCCAGCAGAAATGTGCACGTGTCGCTCCTTCCCAATCGCACAGCAACACGCATGAGCCCACATACTTAACAGTACGTTGGTGCGTTCCTTCCCTCTTTCTTGAAGCCCCTCCATGTGTGGCTGTCGACAGTCAGCGATGTGGCACACGTGAGGGAAAATCTCCACCTACTCCAACTAATCCCTGCACCCAAAAGGGGAAATGATTGAGGATGTTCAGCGTTAACAACCCTCTGTTCCACAACACAGTGCAGATCAGGGGTCAGCCGCTACTTAATGAAGAGGTGAGGACCTGCGATATACAGTTTGGACTATTGATCTGTCAATGTTCACAGAGAGGGCAAGGTGGGATTGAAGCTTGTTAAGAGATACTATCCCTCTGAAGAGTCAAGTGTTAAAATGGACGAAGAGGAAAGGATGGGAAAGCATGTGTAAAAGATAGCGAATATTCAGTGTATCAAATGGAAAGAGATTTCTGAGCTCTGGTTTGTTTCCAGTCTGAGAAAAAAAGAGGGGAAGGGAAGGACAGAGAAAGTGACAGCTTGTGGTGGGGAGACGAGCCAGGGGGGGGGGAGGACGACGACGACAGAGGAGTCAAAAAAGGAGGGAGGCATTGTTTCAGGCAATAAAGCGGAGATGTTGTCGAGTGAAGTGAAATACTTTTTGTTGAACAGCTGTCACCATTGCTGAGAACCCAATTCCATGTGTTGTCTGACATTTTCTGGAAGACAATATTCGTCAATCTGTGGATAATTATGGCGCTGCTAGATCGACATTATCTTAATATATTCCTTTTTTCTTCATCTCTCATCCATTTACCCTTCTTCGCAGCTCTTCTTTACCTCACATGCCCTCTTTCTCACATGTTTTTTCAAAGCTGAAATCTCATTAAAAAATGTGGAGAAGGTCCAAAAGCACATCATAACTGTTAGCATTGTTTACGAGCCCTTTGGACATGAGAAGCTGAGTTTGTCAGTTCTGCAGTGTCTCATCAGCAGCAGCCTCGGTGTAAAGACAGTCGTCTCCACCACACTTTGACTCATTGTGGCCTGTCTGTGAAATGAATGGCTGTTAGAGGTTAGCAGAGGCAGAGCACTGCAGCAGCATCGATATCATTAGCAGCAACCAGGGGCTTATTTCTCTCCTAATATGCCTTAATAATAATAATCGTTAAATATCTATTTTCTTTTCCTATCCTTTTATTATTCTCATTGTTTCTGTATATTTCTTACTTTGCATCTTTCTTTTTCTTTTGAGCTTCCTCCTTTTCCTCATTAACTCTCAGATCATACCCATCAAGCTCGCAATAAAATGTGTTGGATCGACATTATCACATTGTCATGGCATTACAGGCCTGATTTTTATTGCAATTTAACTGCGCGAAAACAGATTTGACACTATTAGGGAGTTTGGACCTAATTCTGAACAGTTTAAAAACTGTCAGCTAAAACATTGTTTTATCTTCAATGCATGTTTGTGTGGCTTTGCAGCAGGGATTTGGTCCTGGTTTCTGTTCCGGGGAATTAAAAAAAAAACCTCCCTGCTTTATGTCCCGTCTGACACTTAGAGAAGACAAAAGGGAAATGGTTGTCATCAGGAACAAAGTGCCTGTGACCTTTGAAGCAAGCTTTGATTTTCACCTCCTATGTTTCTCTCGCCTCTCTTCCTTTCCTCCCACCGCCTCACCCCTCTCCTATATACCCCTCTCTGTCTCATTCTGTTTTTTTTTTATCTAATCCTTTCCTTCAATTCCCTCTCAATGGCCTGTTCTCTTTTAACTCCCTGTGACCTTCTTCACACCACATGTTACATCACCTTCCATCTATTTCTTCATCCCTCTCTTCTACACTCATCTCCTCTTATTAACCTCCGGATAAGCCATCAAAGCCAAACCTCAATTTCCTCCAAATGACAAAAAAAATTAATTATTCTGCGTATGTAAAAGGAGCCCCATGATAAAGCTTAAGGACTGGTGTGCGGCATCTCGTGTCTTGCCACTGGTTTCAGGGGGTTAAGACGCGTAGTTTGTCGACTGCCCGTCTCAACACGTTGCATTAGTGGCGGGATGAGTCAGCCTCGTTACACACCTCTGGGAGCACTCTCTGCCTTCTCTTTCCCACTGAACAACGTCAATGGCCCTGTCCCTTGTCACATTAGGGGAGCAGCAGGGGGAAACACAGACACAAAATAATTCCCACACACAAATACAGAAGGTTCACCTGTTTGAACACAAACACACACACACAAAAGTTCATAAGCAA